TTTCGTTGCTATATATTCATTCGTATTCAGATTACATTTTTGAGTCATGTAGGGCAAGGTATAACCTGGTAAGGTAATGTAGCTATACAATTCCAAAGTTTGTCATCCAAACATGATTTGGTATTGGAAGCTCAGAGGCATTTCAAGGGCCAATTCACTGGACAACCAAACAGGTGAATTCGTATTCGTGCCATTTCAGTTTCCTCACTGATTTGGAATTCGGACCAATACAATACGGAGCTCCCCAATGGAGACATCCAAACGAAGCGTATGTGCAAATTGCCACTTAAATCAACTAAACAAGATGCATGTTAGATGTTCAGGATTTTTTTAATGAATTTTGTGTCCTAAATCATGGTGATTTCTTTAAGTTCATTTTGTTTGTATTCACATGGCAAATGTGTGAACTTTGCTCTCTCTTGTCATACATCAGTTTCATGATATATATTTTCACTGTAGCAAATTTACTAATGAAAAATCATTCACCCACATGGCAAATCATGTCTTGATCACATGGCAAATTATGGTGTGACTCCGCGGTGAAAAGAGATAGTTTTCTGCCATGGCATGTTCATTTTTTTCGTCATGTGAACTAACTTTTTACCCATGACAATTAGTAGTTTTTTTTCCTGTTTTGGTCACACGATGGCTTTAAGATGGTGGTGGGTTTGGACCATGGCATTTATAATACTTTACGGCATGGTAGTTTTAATATAGGTATCATGGAAATTTTACTTTTTAGAGGATGGAAAACTTACAATTTTCAGAGGATGGCAATTATAATTTAGATCATTGCAAATTCGATTTATGTAGCATGGCAATTTTACTTTATAGATCTTGGCAATTTTATTTAGTTAGAGCATGGCATTTTCAATTTATATACCATGACAATTTTATTATTAAAGTTCAGGGCAATTTATTAATTAGACCATTGCAAAATTACTAATTTCACAATGTGGGTGGTGGCATGACAATTTTGATCCTTAAGTCCACGACAAAATTATTAATTACAAAAGGCACTTTTTATTATTTTAGAACATGCAATTTTATTAGTTAGACCATTTTGTAGTTTAATTTGTCATGTTCCCATGGAAAATTCTAAAATTATATTAATGGCACCATGTTTTGTTTTGATAGAACAACTTTCCAAAAAAAATCATGTACCATTGGCAAATTCTAAAGTTGCCACCTTTTTTGTTTTAAAGAACACAATTTTTGAATTTGCAAGCCTTTTTTAAAGAACAAAAATCCTTTTAAGTGAATCTGCAATGCCATAAAATTGTTCAAAGGACAAAATTTATACATTTGCAATCTTTTACAAGGAACAAAATTCTTGTTTAGATGTGAATATGCCATGCCATAAAAAGCACAACTGGAAAATATGGAGTTGCATTGGTCCACTACCTAGTTTTTGCTAGAAAAATCATACACAAAATATGTATTGCCATGGTGTACAAATATTAGTGTTGTTTTTTAAATATTTGGCATACCTGTTAGAGAGAGATATCATGATTTACTTGTTTTTTAGCCATGACAAAAATTTATGTAGCCATGTGGCATTATTATTGTTATATACCATGGCAATTGTGTGATATTTCCCCCTCTTATGATTTTTTTTCTTTGAAATAACAGTCCTATCATTCGTCATGGCAAACATGTCGTGATCACATGTGTGAACCATGTCCTTTTCTCTAAAATTATCTTGAAGGCCTTTTACTATATGTCCTCAAATCTGGGCCTTTTTTGGCTCAATTCTTTTTCCTTTTCAAGGATTGTGGGTATTTCATTAGCAACAAATGTTTGTAGATGGGGTTCACGCTAGAACATTTTCCAAATCGAACAAAATCTTTTGACTGATGTCTCATGCCCCTGGCAAACGATTCATCTGGTCTGGTGGTGCTCCAGATCGAACGTTCCCCGGGTATAGGGTCCTAAAATATAGTGCTACTCAGAACTCAGCACATGAGAATAACTTTGAGGTGGTTCACTTTTGCTTCCAGTTGTCCTCCTCTTGTCCAGCGCCTTCACTCTCAAGTGCATTATCGTCTCCGTGGTTATGGTGGAAGCTGACATCAAGCATGCAGCCAACCAATTCTCTTCAGTGGTCTTCAAACATGTTCGTCGGCAGTTTAATTTCTTAGCTCATGTTTTAGTGAAAGCTGGAATGAAATATAGTAATAGTAGTTTGTATGTTTATTTTCTCCCCCTCGTTTGTAGTTTTTTTGCTTAATCAATAAAATACTAATATTCTCTAGAAAAAAGCATACGACACATTTTTGACCTCCGTCCCTTGTCAACGAGTTGACATGCTCGCGCCTCGAGGCAAAGACGACAAGAACAGTTGAAGAACCAAAAAAAACTTCTGTGGCTGGTTTAATTTTGGGCCAGGTAAGACTTGTCCAACTCTACGAACATATGAAACCAGGTGATACCCTACTTGGAAGAGAAACTTTGAGGCTCGCAATTTCGCTAGATTTTCTTTAACTCTTTCTGTTGGCTAGCATGTTTGGCTTGTCTCTTCATCGGAAAGTGGAGTGATGTTTATAAAAAATATGATACCCTACTTGATTATGAAAAAAATAGTAATGTTGGCGTCCCCTAGGAGGGAGATCCCACCTGCACAGCCATTTGATCGTGATCAAATGATGACAATTTTCGCGAAAAAAACACCTTCACAAAATAAAAGTTTCCAACCCCTATAACTCAACTTTCCACCCCTCTGCTTTCTCCGTTTTCTTTTTACTCTACATATAAGATTTGTCTTGAGTCAAGCTTCGTAAAACTTGACTAAGTTTACACAAGAAATATCAACATTCACAATACCATATCAATATCATCTGATGCATCATTGAAATATTTTTCATATTATACATATTTTTTATAGTAAATGTTTATATTTTTAATATAAGTTGGTCAAACTTTAAGATATATCTTATACGTGGAGTAAAAAGAAACAGAGGAAGTACAACTAAAACCG